AATGGTCACCCGGTGTTGCAAACAGAGCTTGCAAGCAAGCTTGGTGCCAATGCGATACAATAATAACAGAAAATGTGGAGGTGGGATACGAAACAGTGTAAGGGAGGATGAGATATTTAATTTGAAAAACAAGATATTCCGTGAAAATGGAACGGGAGAGGGAACAGTTCACCGCATCATTTAGTTCGATTTGAATTTCTAAGTTCCTTTCACAGCCCAAGCCAACATCCTCGGTGTATTCCCAATCAAGCAGTCAGTTATACACTACTCGTACAGAGCTGAATTTATTAAGGGAACAAAATGAGCAAAGATATCACGTACGGAGCTCGAAGAGCAATTTAGGAATTTATGTATGTCATCTTCGGCAGATTCTGTGACAACCGGCGGTGGCAAGATTCTCTCAACTAGTTTGATCTTGACTGATGTACCGGTGGCAATACAATTCTTCCCAGATTCCTCTTGGCGATACTGCAGTTATCTCGGCCAATCTTTATGTGTCGTGAGTTTCCTCATTCAATAAACAGTCATCGATGGATCTTAAAAGGTGTCCACGCACATCTTGGGTACGATAGGTGATAGTTGATCCGGACCGAGGGCTTAATTTTCTGTTGCTAATAGAGGGCCGTGGTTTTTTTCGATGGCAGAATTATTTCGAAGCGCTCGTCTTAAACCGTACCGGAATATTTCAGTTTACTACCGGTACCTCCACAAAACAGTTGGATGTGAACCGGACGACCTATGTGATGAAATGGGCCTTGATGCTCGTGAAGTTGATTGATTGGTTAATCTGTGAACACGGTAGACCCCCTGTTATCCCTTTTTTGTTTTGTTGTTTCGCTTGTTTTCAGTTCCTGGAACAGTACAAACTCCATCCCATATTTTCAAAAGAAGATTTCGAGCATTACTTTACTCCTCAGGATGATATTGTTAATTCGTTTGTCGTTCAGGTAAGTAGAATAATTTTCGTATGAATGGCACTGGCCTCGGTCGGAAACTTACATCATATCTATCAATTGCAACTTGCAATTATATATAAACTGGGAACTGTACTATTGCATTGTTTTCTACTGTCACATACTATTCAATTCAAAACATGCCACGACCATTTGAGCACTCATGCACCCTATCGTCCTGGGACGTTTTGTTTTCTCTTTCTGAAAATCTCAGACAGCATCTGTCGTTTAGGATTCAGCCAATACGCGCAAATGATGCAGCACTTCAGATGAAGTTGAAGATAGCACCTACCACGCCTTATCATGAACTACCAAAAGTTTGTTTGCTCATGAGAGGAGCAATCGGAAAATAGTTGAAGGAGGAGTTAGACATATCACCGTTCCCCTAGCTTTCAGATTCCTTTATGAGATTATTGGCGCCTGTTGCAGTAACCATTTAGTCTCCTAAACGAATCCATTGGTAATTGGTTCCTGTCGTGTGGTCTCTACTGTAAAGCTAGCTTCTCGTCCATGTTCGCTATTTCGGACGAATTTTCACATCAGCTATGCAGTTGGAATGGCACACCTCGCCGGGACCCTTTGGCACTTCGTTTTCGTCACATTTCCCGAAACTTCGGCATCCTCCATACTCAGAATATTCTCGCCCGACCGATGTAACTTAAATAGCTGGAAAAGTCACGTCTGTCTGCGTAAGAATCAATCACTAATCAATCCGAAAAACCACGTCATCAGTGCATGACCATTGTTTCTATTCCCGTAGGTACTTTCTCTCTCTCTACTCCACTCCACTGGGATTCGAAAAGTCCATTATGCAACGTAGTAATCCCTCACCTTACCATCAACAGTCATGAATGTCTTACTCGGTAACCGTCCGATCACATGTGATGCACACTTGCCAGTTCAATTATCGTGTTGTGGAAGTTACTGATTCTAAGCGGACCCACCTACAAAAGCTTAGTTGCCTACGGGATTTCACACATGTACGATCATCACCGTCTTTGTCGGTAGCTATAGCAAACAACTCATTGCATACACCGCGTTTCGGTATGCTCTGCTCATCTTTTTCAAATGAGTCCACTGACTACCCGTAGAACACTCGAATTATCTTCATTGTTCGCACATGTTTGTCAACGTGTAACATTGGACACCTGCTGCGAGCGAAAGGCCTAACAGTCGTCTTGAGCATACGACTAAGTAGTATCTTTTGTCGGGGTCCATAAATGTACGACCCGGTGGCAGTGTTCACCCGAAAAGGGAATTTCGATGACGAAATCAGACGGAACGGTGGGGGGGGGACAGTGTCTTCGTACAGAGATGACAGCCACACTTAGGGAGTACTCTCAGGGCAGGGGAAGATGCATTGTATCCGTATTTCTCATGAGTTCTATTTGCCCATATGGCTCTCGTTCTTATCAAGAAAAACTATGAACTACACAAAACATGCTTGTTTTTTGTAATCCTATTTATTGCTAATAGCCCGCATGCATAGCCCTCAGTTGTTCCTTCCGGTAAATGGTTTTGTGATGACTTGAAAGCATTTTCACAGTTCCTCAGTCACCCTTGAAGCACTCACAGCAACTATATCGTTTAATGATTAACGCTTTGGTATGAAGATCGCCTATTAAATATACGCTGCTGCGAAGCGCCTCACTTTTTACACTGACCTAATACTGTCCCGTGAGTGCAGCTCTCTAAAGTGTCACATTTCAATCATTATGACTTTCCTCATCTGCTGATTGGGATAGCGAAGATCACAAGCATGTGACATAGTCTGTCCGTCCCTGTTCGACCTATTGCTATAGCCTGTGTCTCGCTATTTCAACCCAACCAGTTTGTTCTGCTGGATAGGTTTGTTCCTCTAGTCGTCTTTCTGTTTGGGTTTTCATCTAAAATATGGCAGAGGTGATTTGACATCACGGCCGGTTTGGTTACACGTTAAGCGGCGGTTGTCACCAACTTATAGCCCCAGTGGTCATGCTTTCGAACCCCACAACCGCTGCCCAAATTTCCCCATGTGTATGTATCATATGACAGCCGTCTGATTGACCCATTTTCCTGAAATGTTGAAAACAGGAAAGAAAAAGCTTACCCGAAGTGCTGGGCTCACCCTTAGTTTAGAATCGGCACGATTCCCCTTTTTATCACGCTAAACGCGTCCAGTCTTTGGACGTTCATAGTTTACATATACTGGTTTACCCCAGTTTAGCACTTCTTTTTAATTCCAACTTCAAGTTGAGAAATAGTACCCTGGGTTCCGACTCATCTGTTTCTTTTATTTCTCATCCACAAAACATTGTTAGCTCGTGAAGAAATCGAGTCGTGTGTCCTCACTGTCATCCGGAAAACCACCAACCTTAGTCATGGGCTTTTTCATAAGGCCAGGTGCCAACATCGTGATTTGCAGCTGTGTGCTTGATGCTGTTATCAGTTATTACTTGTTTCTAATTTCCCTATTCGTCTCTCTCTCTCTCGTTTATCACTGCCATCCCTTACACAGAATGAAGAAGGTGTCATCACCGATTTCTGCTCTTACTACGTCCTTCCCAGTTCGGTGATGAAATGCAAACAGCACTCGACATTGCGTGCTGCCTATTCATTCTACAACGCGGCCACCGTAACCCCATGGCCTGCTCTGATTCAAGATATGCTAATCATGGCCAAACAGGTGAGTGTTGTACTGATCCATCAAGTTATCACTCAACCATTCCAGTCGGAGAGCAAACGGCTTCTCCGACTTTTTTTTGAACATCGTGTTGGTGGTGGTCGGCGTCGTAGGGTCGATTCGGTGCAGTTTTTTAATAATTCGATTTGCGATTTTTCGGACGGACTCATTTAATAGTTCAAATGTCTGACGGGTCCAGTGCATGCTAGCGCTCTTATTGAGTTTAAAATGAATTCATAAAAATGGGAAAACGT